AAACGGTGCAGTACTAGGGGTTGTATCTTGCTACGTCTTGCTTCTCCCACGGGCAGCTGTACGCTGCGATGTCGCGAGCTACGTCAAGATCAAGATTCAAGGCGCTGGTCGAGTACCCAAAGCTGGAGGAGGAGGATGGGGTCTACGCCCAGAACATTGTCTACAGGCAGATCTTTGGTTCGGAGTAGGAATGTTCAATTTCATATGCAATTTAATACATCACGTTTACATAAATCATGTGCACGCCGGAGCGCAGCGAAGGCGGGAGCTCATTTCCCTGGTGCTAAAACCTGCCACCTCCGCTGCGTAGCGGCGGCGGGCGACTAGTCGCGTTCCCGTTACATCTACCACGCTCAGATCTCCCTCCAAAGCCTCAAATGGAGAAAATACCAACAGGGCCATTGCTTCCGCATGGCTATCTGCCTGTGGGCCTTGTGCTTCCTGACACGATAGTTCCGTCGCTCCTAGCGGAAGCCAAAGTGCGTCCGTACAACGGCGTCTTCAATCGCGTGGGTGGTAAGAACGACAACTTCCGATAACAATCGCGCGTGACCTCTCGCACCATGTCATCGCCTCTACAAGAGTTGATCAAGGCTCTAAAGGTGGTTGTCGCCATGCTGCACCCTGGGTGGGAGCCTGGTATTTTCTCTTTCATGCGGTCGATGCATGGGGGCTCAGAACAGAAGCCCCGCCAAGACTTCTAAGGGAATGACTTGGTGAGAGCCCGTAACCTTCGCCCAGATGGTGTTCCAGGCAGCTTGATTTTTGCTTTGGAGCCCGGCACGTAACTTCGCATCTATGCTGGTTGCTTTACTGCGAGAGACAGCTCCAAGACACGCGTCGTGGACATTCCGGTTGGATTCTGGGCTCTGCTCAGCGGTGATCTTATACACAACGGAATGGCGTGCGCCACGAGTAGCAACTGCATTCTCTGCTACCTTACCTATGCAGGGATGAAATGGACACCAGATTTCGTTCAAGACGCACTTCCTGAACACGGTGAGTGTATGCTTTGCGGCGAAAAGGTGGAGAAGGGTCAAGCCATTCGAAAACACCGCTTTTACTGCGAAAAGTTTCCTAATGGGGCTGTGAACAAACAGAAGCGAAAACATGAGTACGAGGAAGGTGAGTACAAATGTGAGGTGTGCGATGAGGTGTTCAAGCACCAGAGCTCGCTACGAGCTCACACGATGAGGGAACACTCCGCTTAGAATTGAGACGTACGGTAAGCTTAAATGGATGGAAGACGAAGAGCTCACCTGACTGGACAAAATTATGTTCACTTGTTTTTAATTGGTCGAGATCTTCAACTTTGGTACAGCGTTCCCGTTACAATTCGCGTCCGCTACAATTCTTCTTTTTAATATAATAATTACCTGTCTTCTTTTCGGTTTGTTGTTTAGCGGTGTCATCCACGATGTATTGATAGAGTTACCAATTCGTTTAAACAACGCCTATTCATCTCTTTCACTCTGATCTAAGTAAGGTACTCTTCCTGCATACCCCCCCCCCCACGACTCGCTGGTAAAAAGAAAAAAAGGGTGATTCGAAAGGCTGTACTTGATCATCAGCTTGAGTTCCAAAAACTTGGGGACCCTGAGGGGCATTCAGCGTAGACCTTGAAGGTGTAGCCGGGTGATTTTTGTCCATTCGTTCACTATATGTCGGGTCGCGGAGAGACTCACGGTATGTCTGTAACGACTGCCCATTTGATCTCAAGTGAGAGTTCACATTCTTAAGGGTTAAGAATAGAGCACGGCGATAAATGCGGCTGCTCTCATTCACTTAGGCAAGATCGAGGATAGTGCCAGGAGCGCGGTTTTCTTCTAGAGATCGTTGGTTGTGCACATGTATCTCCTCTCTAAGATAGTCTTCCACCATTGCAGGCAGATGGAAAGACCATAATTCCGAAGGCGAAGAAGGGTCGCAGTAGACCAACAGGACTGCGAAGAGATGTCTCAGCTGACCTGCCAACTAGAATAGAGTAGCCTCGCTGAGACAGTGGTGGTTATCTCTGTCGGATTTGAGAAGACCCATGGCCAGGGCAGCTGCTTTGTACAATTCGTATACTTCTCCGTCGATCGTTCGTAAATCTTCGAAAAAGCGAGATCCTCGTCGATAGCACGTAGCAGGCGAATGTAGTATCGGTCTGCATCCCGTGGGGAAACCGATATCGACCGACCGATGGCATTGTATCCACCTAATGCACGATGTTTCCATCGGTAACGCAAACCAAACGCCCTCCACACAAAGTGCACAGGCATTTCGTGGTAAAGAAGATCGCGGGCCATATCACTCTCTGGAGAATCTCCGTCACACAGCTCGATATAGGCCGTCAGCATGATAAACTGATTCTGCTGCGAAACGTCTTCAATTCGGGCATCCGTGGGGTACATCACCCAATTGCCCGCCGTCCTCATGCACAAGTAGCCTGTGTACATGATGGATTTTGTTCGGCATGGTGCGGACAACCGTTTTTGTTGTCGGTCGATAGTAGCGTACACGGCCTTGAGCTCTCGTAAAAAGTAGTCGAGTTCCTCTTCAAGGCTACAATAGGTCAAGGCCATATTGTGTATGGTGTCCAGTCAAATAGCTGCACGAGTGCGAGGAACCTTGAAAGGGCAATTTGCCGTCGGAGTCGTAACCGCGTGGTTTGAACCATGGTGCAAAATGGCGACAAGTAAAGTGACAGGTTCAATTAAAGTAAGTTAGAGCGAGCAACAATAGCTAATATAAATGCACAGTGAGCTATAATCAACACTCTGTAACAATAAGTAATGCCGACGATTGTTAGTGTTGTAATGAAATTCCAGTTAGTTAGGCACGGGATCTGCGTGGGAGGAACGCTGGCCACGTAAGTTAGTCGCCAAATTGGTTGTAAATGTGGCTGTAAGAGCGAAAAGAGGTCGTAGTATCTGTATTTTCCAAAGAGCCGATAAGAGCCACAGCAAATATTAACGTAAAAGGGCAATAAAAGGTGTGAGCGTATAGTATAGTAAAATATTCCAATTAATGTAGCGTGGAATCTGCGTGGGGTCAAAATGGTAGCATACTCCTATCGTCAGTTTGGCCATTTCTTTGGTTGTAAATACGAAAAACGGTCTATTTTCCAAAGAGCCGTTTAGAGCGCAACAAATTTACATTAGAAAATTCGAAATGGTAAGCTTGTAAAAATTATCCACAATAACAAGGTAACGTGTATTAGTCATGTTTATCGAGAGAATTTTTATGATGATAAATGAAACGAATCATGAACATCTCAGAGAAATGACACATGTATATACGACAAGGAGGACACTAAACTGGCTCGCACGGATATAATGACAAATGCTAAGAGAGAGGTAAAGGTATTACGGTAGGTTGTAGCACATCTGTTGATAAGTTCTTCACAATGCTAAGCACAAGCCAAGCATTCAATGCTTGGCTTGTCTGGATTATTTACCATCTCGTGATTACATGGATTGCGTTTTTTTTATTTGTTTATCCACCCAAACTGCTGCAAGTACTAATCATCAGCGGAAGTCGTCAAGGTATAAAGTTGTACATGTGCTCACTCTAGAATCTACTCTCAAAGGCTCGCAAGAGTCACAATATCATCGACCTCAATGCGTCACGTAGCGTTCTTACTAGCTGGCCTGGTGCACTTAAGGAGTCTCGATGTGGCTTCAGCTGCTAACTCCATAGCCCAGCGTGAGCGTTACCTTCAACCTCTGGGGCTACCTAGGAGTGGTACACCACCGAATCAAGAAGAGAGAAACGCTATTAATATTCTCAATAATCCGGTCATCACTAAGCTCCGGGGCGCAGCAAAATGGTCAACGTCCAAGATTTCGGATAAAGCGAAGGTGGGGGCTATGCGATTCCAAGGAAAAACTGCGGATGAAGCCTTCACGCTACTAAAACTCGATCAGGCTGGTGATAAACTCCTTGAGAACAAACAGTTCAGCGTATGGGTCAGCTATATGACTAAGATCAACAAGAAGCACCCGAAGACAGCTATCGTGACAGCGTTGACAGCTCGCTCTAGCGACGAGCGTTTGGCAACGATGCTGGAAGCCGCGAGAAAAGTGGATGCAACGAGCGGAATCGCGACGAAGCTGCAAGTTGCCCACATGAAAGTTTGGCTGCGCGAGAAGACGTCAATGGACGCAGTGTTAAAATTCCTGACACTTGACAAGGGCGTGGATAGTCTGCTGACAAATCCGAGTTTCACAGCTCTGGAAACCTATGTCAGACTATTCAACAAGCAGAATCCTGGCAAGGAAACGAGTGTCATCAAAGAGCTGATGGTTTTTTACGGAGATGAAGCTGTATCCAAGATGCTCGAGGCAGCTAAGAAGGTCCCCAATACACATGCGCAAGCAACGGCCCTACAGAACGCGCAATTTAAACTCTGGTTCGCAGAAGGAGCAAAGCCGTCTCGAATCTGGAAAATGCTAAACATGAAGAAAGCATCGTGGACGACGAACCCGGATGCACAGGTTTGGCGTGGGTATCTCGACTATTACAAGCTGCAAAAGGCAGCGGCTGTCTCCACATAGTGTTCTTCAAAGTAGTCATGCCTCTCGGCAACGTCTGAGTTTTCAAACTTGTTGCTATACTATTACGCTCTATTCCACGATAAACCGAAGGATATAATACGTATCTTTGGTGTTTTTAAAGACCTAGGGCTGGTTTTCTTAGATCCCTAACATATCTCTGATGACGCCACAAAAAAAGACTTTGAAGGCTTGTAACCCCCACGACGAGTCCCGATCACGTATATAAAGCGTTCACATTGGCCTTGGTGGACTGCAATCTGCCTTATCTCCGGAAATGCCACCTTTCCGTCTTCTGCCGATCATTTAGGTTATGTTGTTACAGTCCCAATTTCTTACTATCCACTTAAGTAGTTAGAAACAAAATATCCAGTGCTATTTTAGATTCCAGGTTTTTGCTGATGGGGTACGTTAGCTACGTCGTAGCCTCCATGGGTACACTTTAATAGATTACTCTTTGAGCCGTCATTCCGACTTCTACATCAACCGGCCATTTGTGCCTCCGCCGCTCTTGGGCTCTGCTGTCCCCAGTCTCACGCCTCACTCTCTCTTCTATTTGCACTGCATACAGCGCAAGCAACAAGCAGCTCCATTCTGCTTCTCTCTCTCTCTGTGTTGCCAGCTAAAGACGCAGTCCAAGCGTAACCACTGCCGCCGATAATGCCGCTGACGTTGACCAGGAAGCAGAGGAAGAAGTTCGTTGTGCGTATCGTTCTCTTCAAGTGTGAGGACTTGGCGGCTGCAGATCTGGACATGGTAGGCGGCAAAAGTGACCCGTACGTGGTATTCACGCTGGACGGCGTGACAAGAAAGAGTTCGTGCATCATGAACGACCTCAATCCACAATGGTCGCCTCCCGAGAAGTTCGAGTTTGAGGTGGACGAGTGGGAGAATCAGTTCCTAATCGCCCACGTGTATGACTACGACCGGCTTAGTAAGGACGACCTTATCGGCTCTGCAGTGATCCCTCTCGCGCTCTACGCTGGGGACCGGCACTGCGAAATGTACAGCTACCCGCTTGTATTGCCCGAGGAGGTGGGCGGCTTGGGTGCCCCCAAGAGCGACTTGTACCTGCAAATCAGTCTGACGACTTGTGACGGCAATCCCGTTGAATATTACTATTAGAACCGGCCGATATTGTGGTTGACGTGATTATTTGAATTGTATTAGCCCCGAGACGTTCTGTGTTGACGAAGAGGAGCGTTTTTAAGTGACAGTAATGCAGACATTGTTATAAATTACTTCATTTGAGACGCGCCTGCAGCGAATTATTGAGACCGATAGCGGATACGGTACCTAAAGCGACTTGATACTCCTGATAAGAGCCTGATCGCCATCACAGGGCTGCAATACATCTACCGGTACGGGTTTCTAAAGTTCGACAAACCCTTATTAATACGAGACACTTTTCGAACGTGACAAAGACAACCGAAACGAGTTGCATTACATGTACCGCTGTAATGCTTTCGAAGGGAAAGGAAAGTGGCGCGTGATGCAAAGTTCAGTAGCTCCATATATATAGCTTCCACCAAATTGGCATAGCATTGCCGCCCAGGACGAGAACCAGGATCCATACAGTACTTTCATGTTGCTTTGGCTACCGGAGAGCTTCAGTAAAGTCAAGTCAAGTCATCTTGAAGAGCCAGGAGCGGCGCAATCCTTCCTCACCAAAATCTTCTCGGCACCATGAGAGCAGCAGTGCTCGAAAGACCCGAAACCCAAGTGGGAAGCGCAATGCCTGACGATCTTCCGACCTTGTTCAGGCCACCGCTTCCCATGATTCCCGTAGGTGCGTTCAGAATGGCAAATGTGTTGTTGGTGTGGCCAGTTTCGAGTCATTGGACCGCTGTAAGCAAACTGGCAGAGTGACTCTCCATGGCGCCGGTGGCCCGGGATTCTTTACGACACGGAGCTAAAAAACAATGCCGCTTTACGGCTCCAGCTTACGGACTGCTTGCCTGCCACCGGTCCCGGTTCTGAAAACTGTCGTAAGATCGTAGAATCCCCGCTAAAGACGAGTCGTTCGGTTGTCATTTCGGTTCAAGGAATTTGATCCGACCTTTTGAGCAAGTCAGAAAAGGAACCGGTACACATTTATTTATAAAGGTGCAATAACTTTATTTTTAGAGCTTTTTTGCTGCAATTTCGGGTACAAATCCATTTTCGCAGTAGTTGAGTTTACCATTTCAGCGAGGGGCTCGGATAGCCATACAAATATCAAGACTTTATCACGGGCCATCTGTTGTCGAACGCCCCTATCCTCCGCCTCCATCCACCGATCACGTCGTCCAGCCGCTGATCTCTCCTCTTCTTCAGCTGGTGTCGATACAAACATCCATGCCAGACGCGGGTCATTCAGCGATTGGGTCGCAACGTATTGCGCCTTTCAGACTCGTAGGAAAATCTCACCTTGCGAACGCCAGGATCGAGACCAGAGCTCTGTTTCGAGCACGTTCGAACTCACTCTGGCGACTCGGAGTGGCGATTCGATAGCCGAAACTTCAGAGGAGCGGGATCGTGCAAAAAGAGAACGAGAGCGAGCGAACGTCCGCCCGTCCAAATGTTAAGCGCCAGGCCGTCAGCAAGTCGCCCACCGACTCGGCCTGACACATTCCGAAAGTCGAGCCGCAACCCGCTCAACATGAGCCGTACGGCCGCCACCAAGACCACGGGCCATGCGCCGTCCACGTTAATGCTGGAGCGGATGCACGAGGCGGCCACGGACTTGGCCATCCTGGCCACCACGACACAGGGCTGGCGATTCGCCAATGAACGCAACGGTACTATGCTCTACGAGATGGCAGGTCGAAACCTGCCTCAGAATGTCACTACAGCCAGGAAATTCGGACGTGGAGCAGGCCACTCGTCCGACTATTATCTCGTCCGGGCAGTCACCACAGTACACACAGAGGTGGCCGCAATGCTCGACCTGTTGCATTCGTCTACTAGCGACGAGTTCCGACTCGTCATGCGGCAGGTTTTCCAACAGTATTTCCAGAACGGCGTCACGTTGGACAAGTTGACGTGTACCACTCCACCTCCCTTCGCCGAAGACCCAGATGCTGGCGTGGATGGGTCGAGACGCAGCTTTTCGGAAGATGACGCGTACTCGGTCAACTGGTTGACACTCAAGGCACAGTCCAAACTCGGAACGGTGGACAATCACCGAGATTTCACTCTAGTTTGCTACCAAGACGCGTTTTCTCGCCATGAGTCGGGCGTGCTGGAACGCGTCGGACGGGGCACAGCACGTGCGAGATCCAACACGTCAAATTTCCAGCCTCAAAGCAGATTGGTTGGCGTCCACGTCTTGAGTAGCGTCAACTTTCAGGATGTTCCGGAACTGCCTATTCCGGAATGTACGGACCGCCTCCACTTTCGGAACTCCGGATTCGTGGTCGAGGAGACGTCGGAGCCGAACATGCTGCGACTCTCGCTTCTGATGTCACTATTACCTACCAAGGCGACACTTAAGTATGCTAGGAAGTACCAGCGATGGCTGCAGACACTAGCGAGTTGTGTAGGCAATCTGGCGCAGGTGCTCAGACCCGAAGTTACTCTGCATTGTCTGAGTAAACTCACGTGGAAGCAGAGTGATCACTGTTTCATGTGTCTTAAGATGTTCCGCACATTCCGTCGGTGTCATCACTGTCGGTTCTGTGGCGAGGCAGTGTGTGGAACGTGCTCCAGTATGGTCAACATGTCCGGATACGAGGTCACGGACGGTAGCGGTAACACGCTGGCAGCCACCACTCTAGCGTCATCACAACGTGGCGAACCGAACGTCGACTTCAGTCAGACTGGAGATATCTGGAGCAAGACGTCGGGTGACGGCATGGGAGGTACACGTAGCAGTAACCCTCGTAACTTCCGGGAAGCCAGAGGCTGCAATGCTTGTGTCGCGGATCTACGTCACGGACTGACAGCTTCGGCTGTTGTGAGGATGCGCCGGAATTCGGATTCCGGAAGCAATTTTAGCGGTGATAGTCCGAATAATTACAGTGGCGATAACCCTCTGTTGGCGCGCTCGAGAACTGGACTAAGTGCCAGTAACGACGATGAGGAAGTCGTGTCGTATGACAGTTCGGATAACGTCAGCTATGAACGTCGTTTGGGATCGATTGCGACGTATATTACTTCGGAAGGCGGTCCGGGTGCACTGGTGGAAGAGAACGGACCCTTTACTGCCAGTAGCCTAGGACTGGATGAACCAGTGGATGAGTTCCCAGTTACATCCGACGAGCTGCAAGACACATTCCCGGCCGTGGACGAACCGGCCCCGCCACGGTTCCGAACTGTGTCCGATCCGGATCAACTTCGTCGTATGCGTAACGTGTCGGATCCGGAGCTGCCTCAACGTCTTAAGGACAAACACAGTATGGTGTCCATGTCCACTGCCAGTAGCTCGTTCTCGCGATCTTCGAACGACCGTCTTACCAACGACAACGCGTCACAGTATTCACGAGGCACCAACTTTTCGGCCATGTCGGACGGATTATTATCAGCCTGTGATCTCTCTCGTGACCCAGACATCTTGGCTCTTGCTGGCCTGTCGATGAAACCCAGACCGTCCGATGACTATGAACCTGCCTCAGTACAGCGACCACAATTGCCTAGCAGCAAGACGTACGAGATGACCAAACAGGTCATTGAGGAACCCGACAGTGAGGCGGAGCCTACGGCTAAGAAAGAATACAACGACGACGGTGCGTTCAACGGAAGAACCGTCCACACTCCATGGCCTGGTAGCAATGCGGAGTCTCGATACCGCAGCAACACAACCAGCTCACGTGACGACCTCTCCGTGCCTCAACCGGACATGCTTCGTCCTGCCGACGTTCTTCGTCATCGTAGTCAAACGACTGCTGCTATGACGTGGAATCCTGCTGCGACAGCTCCGTTATCTTCCTCGTTATTAGCTAAGGAAGCCAGCACGAAGACGAACAACTTTGCAAGCTCCAGTATTAGACCGACAACCGAAACATCGACAGAGACGTCGGACAGCAACAGCTTCCATTTTTTGAGAATGAAGAGCCAACCGTCGACCACTTCGGCTGCGATCGTAGCAGCCGCTGTCGCCACATCAGCAAAGCAAGACCAGGTGACGTCTAGCAGCAAGATTTATATCACTTCGTCAGCTCGACGAGGCTCCGTTCCGAAGCCCATGCATCGACTGCCACCTTCGGTTCCAGAGGACAGCCCAGTGTTGGGCCGCAACGACATGATCCCGTTGCCTCAGTCGGGCCAAGCTCCAGCGAATTTCGTCGTGTTCTCGGACTCCAGACGCGAATCCATCTTCACGCGAGCGGATGACGGTCAAGATATGATTCCGCTCGATTTTTAACGTTGGATACGAGGTGCAAGCTGAAATGCTCGAACGAAGAGCTATTTATCATTGAAGAGTGTCGTAATGCAATACTACCTCCGCTCGGAAAAAGATAACCATTTGTTTTTTTTTGCGCAGCGCTCCGCCTCGTTCATTTGAGCGTTTATAAATTTGTGAGAGGCTGGCTAGCTAGCTTTATGACCGAGAGCTGACAGTGAGAAACTAAGCAAGGCACAGGCGTTCATGCTCCGCCGTGCAACTACAGATACAAAAGCGGATCTAAGACGGCAACTACATCGCCACATTCTAAAAAGGCGCTCAGTGGGGCTTCTGGAACTTCAGCGGTAGGCGGTGGGGGGCTGCTCGCTGCAAGAAACAGCATGTACGCGTTATTATAGCATTGGCGAGTGAGATAGCGTCACAAGGCAGTGACGTAGGGAGAGTGCCAGCTCGTACTTGCTTGTCCTTGTGCCGGAGGCGCGCCAACTTGTGCGTGGGTCTGTCTGAGCGCACGCCGTATGTAGCCTTCCTTGATCAGCTGCTGAACCAAATAGCAGCTCATGTTGGACGCGCGCTGAAGCAGATGCTGGTTTGCGCGCTCATTGACAGGATCTGCAGCGATTCTCTCGCACAGCTCAGCTCGATCCACCTTCTTCCTACCACATGCGCTCTTCCTTGACTTGACCACGGCTGCTACTCGATCTCCCATCGAATTGATTCCACGCCTCCAAATTCGCTCGACAACTTGGCGGCCCACACGGAAGTACGCTGCAACCCGAGCGATCTCTCCATGTTTGACCACTTCTCCCACGCTGCGGAGCAGTAAGGTCTCCCAGACGGCCTGGCGCTCACTGTCTGTGATCTCCCCCAGGTGCCAGCTTACAAAATGAAAGCTGGGAGCGGGAGCCAGTCTGGTCGGGAAAGCGCGGGAGATTCGAAATCCAAAAAAAGATCGGCATAGAGAGGGTATTTTGTTGGGCAGGCTGTAATATAATTTGAAATGGCTATCTTTTTCAGAGCGGAGGTAGTATAATGCTGTGTAGTGCAAGAGTCTGGATTGTGTAGTATGCAGGTTCTGATAATAATATTGCTATAGTACTACTGTATATGTAGTATTACAATAAAAAAATGATTTTTGAAATTAAATCCTATCCATACTAGTAGTAGTTTTTTTAAGCTAAAAGTGAAAATTAATTATTGCAGCCAAACAAAGTATTCTTTCTTCACCATCAAAGTTAAGCAAAACCAGTATCGGAAGAACATCTCAGGAAACTCATACAGTATCCGGCTTCTCAGAAATAAAAAGTGGCGTTAATGGTAACATACTGTCTAGAAATTTCAAATGCGATGATTATTTCGAAGCACAAAGTGCCTTCATTTTTATTCTTGGAGAATTTTTTATAGGTATAGTACTAATACATAACGTGGTGTAGCTATTTCTAGAGTAAAAACAAGCATCGAAAATCTTAACTACTGGTATACAGCATTGGAATGGTTGAAATGGTTATTTTGTCCTATCTTGTACGATGTACCTACATATACCCTTTTAGAGGCTGTAAATAAAACTTCTCCACTTGAGGCGTGAAGTGGCATAAACCTGACAGGCTGTACCACAGGTAGAGAAAAACAGTATGCTTCTCAGCAGACACTCCGTTTTTATACTTTGACTTTTGAAATGTTTTTAACGCGGAGCTGTCGTTGGTCGACGAGGTCGAGACAGAACCGCTGTACTAATTGGCGCTTGCACAAATGGTCATCTCGAAGCTGTCAGGGTTTACTGGTAAATGGAGTAGCCACGGAGATCAAAATAAAGATGCCCATCAACATCGCCCGCGTATACAAATAAGACCAATTGATCTGTTCCTTATTGTCGTCGACATAAACTACGATGGTTTCGGAAGTACTTAAATAGTCCTCAAGCTGCAGTGACATTCGTCGGCATTGTCCAACACAGCTTGTCTCTGGCGTCGGCCAATGTTCGGTGTAAGATGCCGTGTAGATCTCATCTCAGGCACTCAACAGCTCCTTGTGACCCCCCTTCCCCCCCTCACGCACACCGCTTTTTTATATCTGTAAGTTCACATCGACTCTTCTTGGCCTACATCATTAATATTCTGATTTGCTTGACTTGTATCTATACGTACAAGCGCTGCACGCATCAGCCTTTATGATAACGTACGCACAACACACGTGGTACAGTCAGTGCGTTCTTGACTGCGGCTAATCAGACTGCTACAACACACCTATATGAAACTTTACGAACTTAAAAAAAATGTGGATGGGAAGAGCCTACAACCAGTAGAGCATTTGCAAAGAGGGGTGCTACAGCTAGATGCGCTCGCGCCATTGACGTTGTGGTGGAGTTGTTGCAGACGTGGCAAAGTTACGGAGCTTCACGGGGACGAGTAGCATAAAGCCTATCGAGGCATGCACCGCTTTGATCATGCAGCTTCGATGAGTAAGAGTATCGCTCTGCAGCGTTTCGGCGTCTCAGTGCATACGTCTCCGAGAATGCCCTCCGCAACGCGGTTCACGCGCTCAGTCTGACCATCGGTCTGCGGGTGGTCTGCTTGGACATATTAAACGGGTGCCAAGCACGTTACGTCCAAACCTTCGCACTAAAGGGCGGGTCTCGATCCGAGCCAATTGCATCCGGCAAGCCATGTTGGCGAAAGACATGGTCTAAGAACAGCAGCTCTGTACACTTACTGTCAATGAAGGTCGGCAGCGCCACTAAGTGAACCATCTTGCTCAGTCGATCTACAAAAACCACGATTCCTGTGTTGCCCGACTTATCCTCCGAAAGGCCAAATACAAAGACCATAGTGGTGGACTGCCTACACCCCGTGGAGACAGGTAAACTCACCAACGGCGTCGCCGCATTCGGCGTGGATATCGTTCGTTGGAACATCTCGCACGTTCGGACAAAGATGCTTGTCCGTTTGTACAGTTTAGGCTACCTGTTCATTGAGCTCACCGAGCCATAGGTCTTCTTTCAGCCCAAATGTCCACAAATGCGCTTAGTGAACCTCGTAGAGTATTCATTACTGTATGTCATCCTCGTGAGGACGAGCCATACGAGGCGTGCCCTCAGGATCAGTGCTGTAGCTCAGCAGACCATCATCGATCGAAGATCGATTCGGCCTCGTGAGGACCAGCCATACGAGGCGTGCCCTCAGGATCAGTGCTGGAGTTCAGCAGACCATCATCGATCGGGGATCGATTCGGCCTCGCGTGCAAGCACCTGGATAATTCCTTGTCAGAGTCTTTAAGCTCTCCGCTCCCAAAATCTTGTAGCATGGCTACGCAATATCATCGTGTTCATACGCTGCGCTAATCAGCACAAGTATAGACGACGTCATCGTAGTGACATGGGCTAGCTCGTAATCCGGCCGGCGCGAGAGCCTACGTTAAGCCGCCCCGGCTTTCATTTCACCTCGAAGCTATACCCGACGAGCCATTTCGCCAATCTTTGAGAGCTATGTGGTGACTGCGTCGCAGTGCGTAGCGACGCATGATCAGTAGAGGCTTAGAGCCTAGCAGGTGTTCCCCAAATTTGACTAGAGCATACTTCATGGCAAGTACCTCTTTGTCATGAGCTGGGTATTTCTTCTTTGCCACTTCGAGCTGGCGAGACTCAAACGCAATCACGATCTCGCACCCTTCGGAGTCTGCTTGTAATAAAGCACACCCTATTGCAAAATAAGAGGCGTCGTATACGACGCTAAACGGACGATCCGGGTCCGGTAGCGCAAGTACTGGCGCTCGAAGAAGGCCCTCCTTCATAGCTTTAAAGGCTTCGTCGCGTTTGACGTCCTAGCGTCATGGTGTATCCTTATTAAAGAGACTCGACAATGGCTGAACCATCTCCGCGTAATTTGCGCTGTACTATGCAAGTAATTGGCCACGCTAAGCCACTTGTGCAAGTCCTTCTAGCTCTTGGGAACCGGTCAGTTCACGATGGCCTTGACTGTGACAGGCTATGCCTGTAAGCCACGCTTCCCGATGAAGCACCCGAGGAAAGGTATCTCCTCCGCGTTAAAGACGTATTTGGCCAGGTTGGCATACAACTTGTTAGTGCGCATGCACCCAAGCACCGCTCGTAGAGGGTCAATGTGGCTCTCCACGTTTGACTTTCCGCGCTTAGCACGACAATGAACGAAGATATCATCAACGTACGTCTGCGTGTACGCCTGATGGGGTCCGAACAGCTGTGTCTCAAGACGATCGAGCGTTACTGGTGAGATCGACAGTTCCTAGGGCATCTTCAGCCACTCCAGAGCATAACGCTTGAAGTACGCACCGCTGGCAGCGGAACGTCGCTCGCTCTTGTGAGAAATTGGTAGTAACCATCGACCAAGTCGGGTGCGCTATACAACGTACAGCTTACCATGTTGGTCTGCAGAACATACTTGCGAGGAATCGGCGTCTGCACCAAAAGGGTGATCGCATTCAGCTTATTGAAAACTTAAGCAATACATCACTTGCACTACGACTTTCAGGCACAGAAAGTAGGCTTCGAGTGCGGAGATATGCTCTCATGCACCATTGTCTCGTAATTCGCGCTGAAGAATTCGTCGATGGCGTCACACTGCTCGCTTAACAAAGGTCATTGCCTTGTCACGCAGTATTTGGTTCTGGTAACCTGGTCCTTCGCATGGCACACGCCTCGTTCAGGAGGCAGACCCGTCGGTGGGTCCTACGAGACAACCTCTCCATACTCCTTCACCACAGGTATAAGGGGTCCGAAGGATCTTTTAGAACTGCCAGCTAACTTGTCGCGCTTATCGCCTTCTTGTTGTCACCCAGGACCGTATCGCTAACGACGGACGAGGAGCTAAACGCCTCCTCGGGTCTTACCAAAAACACCGCAGCTAAATCACCCGCGCGCAAAGCTTCACCGAATTCGGCAACGGACATCTCGTCCAGCTCTAACAGAGCATCCATAGTGCTAACTCGCGCGAGTTAAATTGATATGGACTCGGATTAAAGTTAGCTCGCGCAAATATAAATGAATGGCTTCTATGATGCCGATCAATCTGATTTGACCACATTACTCGCGCGAGTTAATCATACAACCACACAGAAGCACATAACATGCACAGCGGGCATAGTGTAAAAGCTGATGTCGCCTTCGACCTCCCCCGTCACTCCATTGACGAAGGTGTACAGCTGCTCACCGCAATCACGTGGAGCCTCACCGCTCGTCACGTTGGACACCTCGTCCGACGTCAAAGACGTCACAAACGCCCTGCGTCTTCTTCTCTCGCTCCCACCGCGACCGAGCCCGACCGGATGAGGGCGGTGTGGCAGCATCTCCATCACCGCCACCGGGTGCAGCAACATTGTCACTCCTCGAAGAGGATACAATGTCTCGCAAGACACTCGGCTGAGAGCCTAGAGGTCCTTGACCTTCACACAATGAGCTAGGGCTTACCTGCATCTCCTGGTCCGCGCCCACGATGCCTCGGCTCGCAGTCGACCGCGGCCCTAGGGCCACGCAACGGCAAACCACCGACCAGATTTGTACCACTCAGTGAATTACTCGCCACTCCGCGTTCGTCCTCACCATGACCCTGCAGCTGGTCATAAACCTGACCTGCACCGCTCAGCGGATAGTGTGCCGCACCACGTACGCCCTAAGGGGAAAGAGCAACCTCGTTGCTAGCAATTCCCGACATACCAATGTCCAGCACTCGCCTCGGTCTCGTGCTCGCGCCAAAATTCCTAGCTGATGTGGGCTCATGACCAAAGCTCCACTAGGAGCAGGGTGCGAAGCACCCAGCGTTTTCGACTTCCAGTCGATCCACGGCTCATGGCGTTCCAGCCAATCCATGGATGAGGTCATTTCTCGCATCCAGGTCTACAACCAAACAGCGCTCCACGCAATCGAAGCTCTCGAACTTCACATCAAGGTCGACAGAGACCTTCGACACAGTTACATGGCGTGGCGTCACAGGGGCTTGTGTGCTGGCTGTAAATCATTTCTGAAAACGGTGTTCATTGCGGTATGATATAGTGGGTTTTCATCTATTTACGAAACAGATGGTCCGAGATCGAATGTATAGGTCCCAATTTGCTGACAGTCTCCGAAATAAGAGCAAGGGTAATGTATGGTGACTATCTCGGGTTGGGTATGTCCCAGAGACACTTATAATTGTGAAGGATATGCCAGAATTGCTGCCATTGGGCGGATAAGTGACCCACTTAAAACCATTCGCTAAGACACCTCGAATCAGCGATTATGCGTAATCTAGCTACCATTGGCAATTATGTCACCGTTATACTCTGCAATCGTGATATTCGGTTAATGTATATTTCCTACTATAAAAACTCATATCCCAAACTCGCCGTAGTCGTTCAAGGTACCCGCAAGGTATGATCGACTAGAAATGACGTCGTACTGATCATTCGGATCAGATATTGTTAACTCGGACCCGGAAACCCAAACGTTTGCCTGCTTTATTTAAATCGGTCCCCAAAATAGCACGCAGCAAAACTGATGAAAAACCCAAATATATCAGGGACGATCACTGTTGGGGCTAGCTCGAAAAATATATCACCACGGATCTAGATTTTGCGAAATACGTTACAGATACATGAGTCAACAAATATTATATATTTATATTTCGGTTTCCCTGCTATTAATAGTTGCCGAGCACGCTAGCCACAGCTGCATCCCCATACAAATGTCGTATGTGTGTTCTCGCTAGCTATTCCACATGAATTGCAGTGTACTGTACACTAATCCCGTTTTCCTACCAGAACTACGACCTCCAACGTTGGTGGCTGTCGCTGAGTGTAATAGATAGAGATGAGGTTACGGGAAGAGCATCATTGTAAAAGTAGCGCTTTATTAAATACGATCTAGTTATGATGAGTTCCAGCGGGTTCGCTTTGCCTTTGGGACAAATCTGCTGGCAAGAGAAAAATGACTGAGCATGTGTGCATTCGACTTTAGCGATCCAGCTATGATGAGTTCCAGCGTTCGCTTGCCTTTGGGACTAATCTGCTCTAGAAAAAGGGCAAAAGAAAAAATGACTGAATATGTGTGCATTCGACTTAAACAGTGAATGCAGCCAAAAAGTAATTTTTTTGGTACTTCGTCGTGGAGCTGCTCACTAAGATTTTTACTTTATATATACAGTAGCTGTCGTCAGTGGATACGCTGTTGAGATCATTGCGAATTCTTTTTTCTTTGTTTCGACGGCGTGAAGTGTTTTAGTATAAACAAGTCAGTTAAAAAATACCTCAGAGAGCATGGCATTCCGATTTTGATTATTTTTTGCGAAACTAACTTGCGCACATTCAGTTTTGTAATGTTACAAAACGCTGTTCTTTTAATTTGCCAAATCCAGCACACTATTATTTTTTTCATTGCTCTAGGTGCGATACCATTTCCGCATGTTCAACCACCTAAATAACTGGATATATATCTCACTTGCCAATTTGCCAGAGCCCCCATATCACTACCACAAAATTGACATGCGCTCCCGTTTCTTGCTGTTGCTCGGAATCAGCCTTACGTATTTCCTCAGTACAAGCGCGAAAATGCTTGACGGCGTGGCCAACACCAATCCTCTCACCAAAACAAATATTCTTAATGCATCTGAGCCTCCAAACACCTCGACAAGGTTGTTAAGGCTGCCCACCACAACTCACCAGGACCATGAAGACGTACAAGACAAACTCGCAGGAGAGCGAGCTGGACTTCCAGGAATGACAAAGCTCGACGATCTAGCTTACAAACTCGCTTTGAAAGTGGAGACGAACCCCATTGATATATTTAAGGGGTTACGCGCTGCCAAAACTGGTGGAAAGTTGGAAGGCGACAAGGGATTTCTGAGATGGCTTTTGTACGTGAAGCAATACAGAGTTAAGCGCGGAGGGGGGGGATGGTTCAGCGATGGCAAATTGTTTGACTTACTGAGGAAAACGAAACCGGAAGCTGAGCTGGTGACACTATTTCAATCACTTCGAGGATACCCCAACTTCAAAGATATTGCCGACAAGATGCAGTCAAACATGATATTGATCTCCGCTACGAGCCACAAACTGACGAATGAGGCTTGGCTAAAGGCCAGAGAAACGCCCCAACAGGTTTTCGACATCTTACGTCTCGGAGATGAGACCTTACAGAGTCTCGGCAGCAGCTCTCTGTTTATTCATTGGCTGAGATACATCAAAGCACACAGGGCTTCGATTGAAAGTGAGTCATTTTCGGACTTGGATACACTCAGATTTTTGCAGAAGAGAAAGCCATTCACAAATGAGTTCAAGTTCGGAAATCTCTTTCAACCGATCAAGGACACACCGGACTTAGACGATCTTCTAAAAGGCATGCAAACACATCTCTATCGCAAATGGATGAGGGATCATAACGTAGACCCAAATGAACTCGCAAGACAACTAGGGGTCCCATACTCACTTAATTTCAGAATAATACCGAAGAGGGACCCCAGGTATCAAAATTTTCAAGCATACACCATGCACTTCGCTGAACAGAGGGGAGGAGCAGCGCTATTGGAGCAAGTGAAGAAGCTGTTTGCCGACAATGAACCTTACGCTGCACTGACCGCCGCTTAAAAAGCTTAAATATGAGCGTATTTCACTGTGCTCCGTGGAGAAGAAGTGACTCGAATGCGAATAATAGGCTGACATTGCTCGCTGTAATACACTTCTGTGATCAAACACTTTGTGTTACAAATAATAGTATGTATTATTTGGTCACTACCTAACAAAAAAAGGTACAATATTTTGTATCGACGCTCAAAGTTTACAGTATGTTTTTACACTCTAAGCAAGATAAAAAGTAATTAGTCAAATGAGATGCATTTTGTATGTTTTGTCTTCCTAGATCTAATTTAGAAGGACTAATTTTGAAGTAAAATAATCTTACTTGTTTTAATAATCAAACAGTGTTACCGGTACGGTAACACTGTTACCCTTTTCGGTGTTGGTCCAAAAACGCACTGGTTATGTTTTATTTTGAGCAGAGTAAATGTCGGCGCGTCGAATCGTGCGTGGCGGACTCGCATGCTGTTGACCGTCAACTTGACGAGCCATCGAGCGTTTGTGACGGCTCAATGGGAGCGAATGTGAAGAAAACAACGGCACAAACATTCGAAAGTACATTTACTGTACTGGAAGCGTATTGTGACTTTGCCGCAATTGTCAATGGGGTTAACGAGAAGTGGTTGTCAGAGCTGGATTCAGTAGGTGTAGGCTATACGTGTGAATTTCTTTCGCTGCTGTAAAGGCCGAAATAATACCGCAGAGAATCTTGAAGCGTGGTCCCCACACAGCTGTGACATGTGTACAGGTCGTCTCGTAAAAACGCATTGGTAAGCTTTTAAGTAAACTTTAAGCTAATAGTTTTGAGCACGACGATCAGTTTACCAATGGTAAAAAATCTTCTCGATGTGGGATTGCTTTTCTAAAGCGGGCTGCTTTTAACTTAAAAGTTTTAAGAAGCTTAGCAGAGAAGCCAGCGCGTGACGCCAGCGGAGGGATCCGATACACGCACTTGCACTTTGGAGAAGAGGCAACAGAGTGGCTGGCTGTTGTGTGGTAGCGGTACACGGTTAAATCAAAACACTTACAGTTTAAGAATTAGACGAGTCGAATGTCGTTCCGCCGGCGACTCCGTATGATGAGCTTTTCTGATGATCTGTATAGCTTGTACCATTCCCAACGTCGAAGAAGGCTCAAATGAGAGCTGAAAAAGAACTGGGAGGAGTCGATGGCGTTGCAACCGCATTTGCCAACGGCTTCGCCTCTTCATTCCCTACCGGTAACTATAATAACCATTGACATTTTGGGCCAAAAATGTACCTCGAAGTATAATAGTTCTGATCCATGGACCGGATTATGCAACACATATGACGTTCTACAGCCAGACAACATTCGAAATTTGGCCTTTCTTCAACCAATCAGATCGCCCGCCATTTCGCTTCGAAAATCTGGCATCTATTAATAACGTAAGAAAAAAAGATATAGCCCAGTTTTCCACATACAAACACAAGGTTATCGGATTAATTTAAACCGATTAATAGCCGTAATTGCCCTGTACATGTACCATTATTATGGGTCAATTTCGGAGCAACGGTGGACTTTGTGCATGTACGACGCTGTCGTGCGATCGTTCACTTACACCCTCCCCGTATCAGGTTGGGCGTCACTCGGCAATCATCTCTTCACGTCGAACGTCGGAGTCTGCTGCAGCCCAGTCGCGATCTATAATGCAGCCGCCGAGTTCAGTGGAAGAGACCAAAGTCTCCGATAGCATCACCTCAGATGGTATCAAGAAACGCAGGAACGTTCAGAAGAAAGCGGATAAATCTACGGACGCAGCCAAGGTCGACCTCGTCAGTATTGCTACGTCTTCTAACCAGTTATCCGAGACCCGTCGTCCTGGTCCCTATCGTGGCAAATGTATGTACCAGTCCCGCAAATGCGAGAATGAACGAGCTATTAAACGCAATGGCAAACCTCATAATTTGTGTGAGGAGCACCGATCCAAGCAGAACCAGCACCAACGCAAATTCGACGCTAAAAAGTTTTCAAGGAAGAGACGACGGGACAGTTTGTCGGATGAGGATGCGACGCAGTCACGTCCAAGGGAGGAGTCGAGTATTAAACACCGCAAGACGAGCGAGGAAGCTGAAACCCGAACACCCTCTCGCGCTCCTACTTCGAGTGGATTGTCAGGGATCAGCGGGAACTTTTACTCTACAGCAAATGCTACGGCCGTGACGACTCCGTTGATGAAGCTACCATCGATTCAGAGTCCTGTTGGATTGTACCTAAGCTCCAAATTTCGAGCTGAAGAGGTTCCTATGGCTCAGAGGAGAGTGCAAACTCCGCGTGTTGGCCATCGACCGTTTATTCAGCAACACCCGACGGGCTATTCGCATTCGGAGCTCGTAGCTGCGAGTGTATTGGTCCAGCCACAACACTCTCCTCCCCACGTTCCAGTATCAAACAGAGAATCTCCGATATCAGACGACAACAGAACTCCATTTATGATAACTCCACGAGTGCTTCCGTCGCTGATGGCTTCTCCTTCAAGTGCTTTATCGCCCAGTCCGAATTATCGCCTCGGTGGAGTGGGACTTTCTTCATTACACCGCTTAGCGTCAGTGGTGATGACACCAGATTCAAGTCTTTCTGTGTCTCCGGCGACGTCATCTGGCAATAAGCTGCCGCCTCTCAAAGCGTTTGGGCGGCTAAGGTCACCACTGTCGTCGTCGGCCTCGAAGTCTCTGCAGAAGTGACGACGTCTATTTGCTCAGATGTCGAATCGCTGCAAGTGTCAGTTTGTCGTCTACATATTGGACATTTATTACATCAATGAAGAGAAGTTTGAAAGACAGTTGTGAAGTGTGCTTTTTCGTTTAAGTTGTTGTAGCCATTTAGGTTACTGTAGTATATAATTGAACTCATATATTTCCAGGAGAGGTTACAATCTGGTGGGCATAGATCTAGAATCAACCTGATAAAGTTTTTGTCGCTCAGCTGAATACTTCAAAGTAGCTGCTCTAGACGAAGAAAGTCGAACCCTTAACCTTTAAAAATAATGTTTAACGAAATTTTAAGCGTGGATATGTCCGTCATCTTAACGAATCTCATCATGTATTATACTATACGCAAGTATTACTCTTGTATACAATCACTTGGTCTTAATCCTGTACGCGGGCGGCATTGCTAATTGTTCTTATTGTCATCGTTTCCAGTATCTGTGGCTTCAATAAAACCTTGCAACTTCGATTCTTGCCAGCGCCACTTAGTGCGTCTTTTGATCAACGCTGGCTCCATTCTTCAGAAGCATCAAAACTACATTGCCGTGGTCTCCCTCCGACGCTCTGATCAGTGCACTGTCGCCTTCGTTGTTAATAAAAATCCACTGGCATCGATAAGCTCCCTTACCACATTATCAAGCCCTGATCCAGCTGCCAGTAGCAGAAAATTGTCGCCATCTCCATCGCCTGCATCGACGGACGCTTCGTTTTCAAGAAGAAGCATCGCAGTATCGGCGTGACCATATTCCGATGCCAACAGCAACGCAGTAGTTCCATGAGAGCCATGTGCGTCAATGTTAGCCCCTCTTTTCAGCAGTCAGGTCACCACATCCACGTGACCTGCTCCCGCAGCGATAATAAGCGGGTTCCATCCGCCACTGGTCCATTTCTCAACATCCACTCCCTTCTCGAGAAGTGATTCAAGCATGGAGAAATGCCGAAGCCATGTAAAGCGCAGTGGATCCGTTTGGACGTTGGGAATCAACGTCTGCTCCAGAATATAACCGACATTCTACCACATTCTCGTGACTATGGAAGATAGCAATCATTAGGTGTCCAGCCCTCGTTATCCAGATTGTCCACTAGAATTGCTTTAATTCCTACCCCCAGGAGTAAAAGGAGGATTTTATTCCGAGATGTGTATCCGTTATGACAACCTCATTACTTTTAATTTACAATCAATCCTCATCAATTGCACACATTACACGCCGTTAGCGAGAAGGCTGCTGATCGGTAAGCCGAAGGCAGCTCGACATTCCACCACGTTGATTGTAATCTGTAAAACGGAGGGCCCATGAATCTGAACGTCGCCAGTGCGAGCGATAGGATCGGATTGAGTTTGAGTTTGGCCGTCGACGATTGTGCAAAGGTGTTGGTTTTACCGCAATGTAGGTTGTCTGGCAGCGATTACTGTACTACGTTACATCCGGTTGTGTAGCTCGTGGGGCCTCCAAGTACGTACGTGAGATTGGCCCAACACGAACATCTTCACACTCTAACAAGAAGCCATCGATGGGTCGAGCAGCGTCTTAACTCGGGGTGTACATGTAGTGGGCTTGGGGGGGGGGCTTACGATTCTTAGGCTCTAGTTGTTTCTAGCAGCGAGCACATACTGCTCGAAGCCAAATGATCCGGTTTATTCCTGTGATTCTCATAAGTGGCGATTGGATCAGCAGCGTACCCTCCGCCCCTCCGACTAGGCTTCAAATTAGATCGTCGTGGCTTGTTTAATGACCTTGTATTGCTGAGCAGATTTGGTGGTATACTCGGCACTTGCCCGTAATAACTCTAATGTGTCCAAATATTTAAAGATTTGGTTTTTGTTACTGGCATTTGATGGGATCATCATTGCAATCGAGCCAGCACTTTCACATAGCACATTTGGCGCTACTTTGTTGCCTTGTTCGGTGGACGATGAGCGAATTATATCGGGTGAGGGCGAGCGACCGCGAGCGTGAATCGCAAACGATAGCCAATGTCCTACCAAGAAAGAACGTATCTTCTAATTGCATTACAATTGTAAATGGGTTTGATGTTTAGATGAACGAATGTCCTAAAAGTTGTCGTTGTAATATACCATCCTTACCACAACTTTCAAAGGTGTGTTTTAAACATTTTTAGGACAGAGTTTCGACACCCCGCAACAACATAAAATATTCAGGCAATTTGCTTTTTTTAATTCGCTTCCCGGTCGAATTTATCTTAGATCGGTTCTGATCATCTTGTACTTCACTTTGTAATATAGAGGACAATAGAGAAGTCTAAACCGAAGTAAGGTATTATCGTGTTTCGTTTTTAATCGGACTTATTCAGATCCTAAATCGGTTGTTACAATCCAAGTACATGTAGACAAACAAATCGGTCTTCACAATAACCCAAACGACCTCTGGTATCCGTCTTTTCTGAATTCGAAATTGCTAAAGAGATCAATGTTTTGCATTTATTTTGGATTCGTATTGGCGGGATAGCTCGCACGCTGTGAAGCACAGGGTCCAAACCAAGTCATATATCGGTGGTGCACACGACGGAAGGACAATATTGAAGGGGTCACTCAATAATTTACCCCACTTTGACTGCATTTGCCACTACGGCAAAGCTGGAAAGATGAACTTGTCGAAGACGTCTTGAAAGGTGCACGTCTTAGTTGGGTCATCTAGCAGTGGCCAATCTGCAATCCAACAAGTATGCGGCACGTCAGCGACCTCGTGGAAGAACAGCCCGCCACGCTCATCCAGCGTCTTCAACCCAAACGTATCGCTCTTGAACTCTTCCGTGTCGCGACCTTCGACAATCGTGAGGTTCTCAAACTTGGTCTCGATTTCTTCCAAAGAATCGACGTTGCTGTATCGCCCAAAGAACGATGTCTGCCATGGAGCAGCGGCTTTGTCGTCTGGTGATCCGTAGAAATGAGCAGCTTGGAGTCTGAGAAAGTTCTGCTTGCGTCGCTTCTGCTCTTTGAGAGCTTGGGCATCATCAGAATCGACCTTGTTGACGTTGTTAATCGCCGGTAGGAATGGGTTGGACTCCAGCAAGATCTCGTCCGCTGGGAACCTCCCAAGGTTGACGAACGCGAACTGCTCATGCAACTCCGGTCTGTTGACGCTGAGCTCCGCGAACGCACGTTGCGCCTGACCACGAAGCCCAGCGGGGTTACTTGCGTTTTGATACGTTGCAAAGTCAAAGATGTCAGTCGGGAACATCTGCAACTCGTAGTTGGCCATCGTGCACAGCACTTGCATCGGAATAGTGTCCTCGGGTTGTGGTCCGTAGAAGAGACCGCTATGAGGTGCGGCCAAGCTGATGAGCGTGTGCACTTGGTGGTCATCCATCTCCTCGATGACAGATCGAGCCATTATGCCCCCTAACGAATGACCAATGAAGACATAACCGTTTTGGAATCTTTTGTCGCTAGCAACTACTTCACGGATCTGCGCGATAGCCTTAGGGATTTGAGTAGGCAGTGCCGCCACCGACTCTGCACCTGGCGCAAAACTCAGCGCCACAAGCGCTCGGTCGTTGGCGGCGAACACTTGCTCGTAGTTGACTGCATTAGTCGGATCGCCTGTGAGTCCGTGAAAGAAGAAGGCAGGCAAGTGGAGATCTGACGTGCAGTTGGCCATGGCAATGTTTGGCGACTTGAGACGGCGAAGGAAACGAAGGGTTTGAAGCTGATTGGGAAATGAGGAACGAACGCGAGTACAAAAAGTCTGCAGAGACTAATTGCCGTTATTGCCCGCTAGGCGGGTGCATTGCTGTGGCCTAGACCGCTTGCATTGTATTGTAAAGGGGTGTTCAACCTTTCTTCGCCTGTGCGTTTCAACAATTGCGCTCACCGCCATCACCTCACTCGATAGTGTTGGTCCAACACTGTTGGATACGCCTCAGTGGGCTCAACCTGAAGATTTCAATAGGTACCGGTATAATAACTCATTATATGTGAGGCGGAACAACAGGCTCGTCGGACGAATTGGATTCCGACATTATCCTTTGTCGGGGCTCGATGTTAAAATCAACTGTGCATCACAGCACATAGCTCACATTTTAAAGCTAGTTGTGAAGCGCAAGTAGTGACTCGGTTATACAGGTGCATTGTTTAAATCAGAAGGTGCTGTGAAGTTATTGACTACTAGTCGGTGTACTACGGTAGTAGTCACTAACTTTTATTTGACTTTATGTACCGAAGAAGCTCATAAATTTAAGAAATGCGCTGCACATGAAAAGAGTAAAACTTGGAAGATAAATTCGTTCGCAAAATGTTGCTAAGTGACACGCACATTAGCATACGCCGAGTGAATGAGGCTACGCAAAACTTCAATGTCACCTTCTAGGGTAATTGGCACCGAGACGTCGTGAGTTAAGTTTGTCATCCAATTTCTTAAGCTTTTGTTTTTCTGGGAGTCTAAATGGTACAATTCTAAATCGCGTAGCTTTTATTCTCAAAAATCTTGCTGAAACAGATTGAACAAACGCAGTTTATTGGCTCACTCAATTAATCATAGGAAACAGACTAAAACCACCTATTTAGTATGGCCGGTAGGTGGTTACAAGAGCGCAGAGGCGATCGATTGACCAGGTTCCCTAGAGTATGATTCAATATATGGCAGGGCGTCTATGAGAAGTATAAGAGAAGATGACCTCGAGGAGTTAGGAGCTAATACATTATAGGGTACTTCATGTCTGAATGTCAAATCTGCTTATCCGGAATTTCCACTATCGCGATCGTTCAAAAGCGCCGATCCCTTTCAAGAAAGAGACTATTTCCTGTTGAGCTGCCACATCGCTTGTCTGAGAGGAGACAAAACCTTTTTAACTGGCAACAAATTTTTTAACTCGGTTACATCTGAAAAAATGTAAAATGAATAGCATATCAAGTATATCCTGGAATTCATATCTGTCGAACAGACCCTGATATATGGGAGCATTAAATGCCTCAATGGCAGAACGCATCTTTCCGTTTTTTTCAAGTAACTAAGGTAGCGTCTGTGTTGTGCGGTCAGCAGTATCATAGTTGCAGTTGCACCGGCTCTGCACGATTAGGCGTGACCGTTAGAACGGTTACCGAACCGTTCGACTATTGGCTGGAACTGCTTCTGGAACGCCATTGGGTAATCACATGCTGGAGCGCTATGATTGGATGAAGGCACATGGCATTAGTGATTACGCCACTATAACGAGAAGACTAAAAAAGGAACGACAGAGAGATAGTGTTTAGAAAGACATTTTGGACAGTTTTGGTTAGCACTAATTTACTCACTTTGGCATTTGCCTCTTACTCAACAAGTCAAAAAACAATAGGCTAACAGCCGCAACTACGGCTCTACCTGGGACGCTGAACCTGGAACGCCTGATCCGGAACGCCCGAGAATGATGCCTACGAAGAGAGCCGAAGTCTTCCTGGACAGTGGAAACTATTTTCACTGAGAGTACAGCATGCACATCAAGTGGTCGAGCACGAGAGCAAGGTAACCGAGGCGTGGCTCATGAACGACGCGAAAGCTCTCGGCATTATTGATCAAGGTGTGGAACACCAGCACCAGACCAAGATTCGGAACGCCTCGCGTGCCATGGAGGCTTGGGAAACACTTCGAGATTTCTACAAATGGACGATGCTGCACAATCGTGTTACGATGACACGTCGCCTTCGTGGTAAATATGCGTCGTGATCTGAGATGCATGTCGTGGAAGTGGCTTGTCGCCAGCCACACCGTATCCATTCGCCACGCCAAATTGGTGATCGCGACTCTGGTGATGGTGCTGCTAATACTATGGATCGCGGATGGTGAGCACCGTTGGAAGTTAAGCATGCATGCAGCTGTTTGAATCGAAGACAAATTAGTGGTGTTTAGCATCAGGCTCGCAAGCGAGTATCTGTGGAGACTTGTCCCTCTTTACGGAGCAGCTTCATGACAGATCAAGCTAATCGATTTTGCTAACGGGGCTACAGAGCATACGACTGTGCGTGGCTCAGTGCTACTTAACCATGCTACTGGGGGGGGGGGGGCGGCAAGTAACTTTAAGCTGACGTGCTCGTCCGATCTAAGAACTGTTTGAATGTCCAAACCTAGCACGACTCTGAGATTGGGTATGCGCGACAAGGGCGCCCGCTTGTGCTCCGAGCGAGTGCTTGGTGTGAAGGAGCTGGTGGCGACAAAGCAGTCCGTAAACCAGGCGAAGGTAGAAATGAAGCTACTACATCACCGTTTTCGTTAGTTGAACATGCAGCAAGTGAACGGCTTGGCTGGTAAGTTTAACCTCGGCCTAAAGTCGAGCAAGAAAAACCTGAGCACCTACTACTGTGTTGCTTGTATTGCTAGCAAGGCTAAAGCCATGCATCGTGCCCGATTACATGCGACGAAGTGTCAACCGCATGATACTCTCGTTATAAATATATGCTTGGTGAGCGCGCCTGGAGCATGTGGCGCTACAATGTTGCTGCTCATCGCTGATGTGACGTCGCGATAGAAGCGAATGTTCTTATGAGGGAAAAGAGCCAAGCTACAGGTACCTGGTTTATTCTGTGCATTTGTGTGCTGGTCTGCTGGTGAATACTCAACCTATCGAAATGCTGCATTTGTAATACACATGATATCGCGCAGCTGTACTCCAACGCTTACCCACCGCAAGATGACGGTATTACAGAGGGGGCAAATGCAGAGGTGTTACTGATGATGCGGGCAATGTCGACCGCTAAGCACACGCCCGAAATTATCTGTGGTGAAGCCGTGTTGTATATGGTAGCAACTCTCCGTATGTTACCTACACAGACGCTATGGCTCGTGTCGCCACACGAGAAGCTCTGCGGCACCACCTGAGGTAAAGAACCTACAATGTGGGGCTGCGATGCCCATGTACGAGCAGCTTCTGAATCGCGCCAGGTGACAGAGAAGCTTGAGCCGCGGGTGCGGCGGAGTCTCCTGCTTGAATATAGTATTTTAACCAAGGGCTAAGGTAACAATAGCGCAGATAAGGAATGTACAGTTTTACGAAGCGTTCGCGGCTGACGGCACATATATGTACAACCGCTTCTGGAGAACATGTACTGTTTGGGCGAGCACGAACTACCGACGAAGGTACCTGTTGTTTGTATCAAGACGAGTATAGATACCTACGCTACTATGACCTGTGTACTGGCCTTTCAGCAATGTATCGGACCGTCGCGAAATGGAGTTGATGCCAGCTGCTGAATCGAATGAAGCGAACAGTGGGAGTGCAGCTATGGGTGTAGCCAATTCCTCTTTCGTTGCCCCGCCAACCGGAGATTAGCATCCTGTTGCTACTTAAGTTGAGAAGAAGAAGTCCTAAGCGGCGGTGAAAAGCATCGTCAGAAAAACAAAATACAACACGATTCGCGATTGAAGCGTCTCGAGCTGCACTGGTTCTGAAGCTACCTCGCGGCCTAACGCTCGGTTGCTGCTAGCAGACCAACTACTCGTTGGACCCGTGCAAGTCTGTGAAGAGGTTGACATCCCACGACATACAAACAAGAAGGGTCTAGCAAATCGTGATCTCAATGGAAGAAGTGTGGGCGACGAGGTGGAGTACGACGGTCCTTCTGCGTTGTTGCAGCTGAAAAACTTATTTTTTAGGTCTCAGTTCTGAATCATTAATGTCCAATACCTGTATCCGTTTTAGACATATGTCCGGTCACTTAAAGCCCTCTACAAATACCAAAGTAAAGGTCGGATGTCTCACAATGAGGTGCAGATCTCCGGTCACTGTATTTTCATACCAAAAATAAGATGGCAATACAAACGTTATAGATCACAAATAATCATTGATTTTGCGCGTTTAAGACAGAAGAAAGAAAATATGCGCACGTTTCATTGCTAATTGAGGCACTAGTAAAACCACTAGATACTCATTGGGGCCAAGGCTCCTTAGCTAAGTGCCAATATCGAGGCCCCGAGCATTACCACTCCTGAGTGGCAGCTTGTACACGGTCTATGTGCAATAATGCGACTCCATGAACCAAAACGACTGCTCCCGTCCTAATTGTTTTTGGTTTTACGCTGGAGGTTGTCTCTCACAGCCAAGCAGCACGAAAAAGTTTCAAATAGAAGGGAATAATTGTGTTTTTCAAAAAATTTGGTTAGAATCGGATCACAATTGAGATCGGTATGCTCCATCAAACGCTGTCCCTTAATTTAATAATTGGCTTCGCTATTCGCTCATGGCCAACAGCCGGCGAATCTCGAATCTAAAAAACAGAAAATAGTTATGAATTTTGAAAGTGACAAGGCTGCGTAGCCTGGGGTGCTCGGAGAAGATCTTGATCGTGGCTCTCGAGGCGAAGACGACGTTGCCGGTGTCTCACAAGCTGCCGCTTCAATATCGCTGCATTCTACACAGTCTCCAAGGAGACCCGCCAGCACATTATGTCGTCGAGTCCGGCGCCGGACAGAGATCGCCGCACACACCAGTATCGCCGTATCAGCCTTGTCTTGCTGGACGGAGGTCTCCTCGTACTTCGACAGAAGTCTCGATTCAGTCGATGCAATCAACGGCAAGCCCTCGGTCAGTTCACAGCTCCACGCAGCTTATACTCCCGAGTTCGAAGATCACCACGGCCCTCGAACCCGTCCGACATTGTGGATGAAGATATTACGTCTCCAAGTGCGTTTACTCCTCGACCACATGTGCCATCGATCTCGGGGCACACACCACTCCTTCGTCGATCGCCCGGTAAACTGAGCAGGCCGAAAATCACGATGTTGCGGGTCTGTCGACAAACGAAGCTCCACGGCCAGTCTCTCATCTTTTTCAGCATGTCGTTCGCCCGGTCGTCAAAACAGCAATCAGTCAGCGAGATACTTCCGATGAGATGCCGGATGATGTCGTGGCTACCGGGTCTTCATTTAATGACATCCTGGGTAAGCTATGGGGGTTGTTGTTCAGTCCTCGTATTAAAGGAAGGTCTTTATAACCCAGGATTCGTGGTCCGTGGTTGTTCCAGACGTAGCGGACTGGTCCAAAATGATGCAGCTGAAGTCCAAGCGCCATATTGTTGATAACACGAAGACAGATCAGGCATGGAATTCATGGTTACAAGCAGTTCGAGGAGAAACAATCAAACTTCTTGTGTATGAGTATGATGTTGCAGTAACTACAGTAGCAGCTATTAAGAACAAGTGTAATCTATCAAATACTACCGAAAGAGCAGGTGCTACTTCTGAGAGCTCTCCTCGAGAAATGGTTAATCGGCTTCAACAGCGATGGCAAACAACGTTCGATGAAGCAGCTGTTGTCTGGCGTATGTGAGCAATTCATTAAACGAGGAGCTTTGATCGGTCAACAATCGACGCAGATATTAACCAGCTTCCCATCGGCGTATATCGCACGGTTACGACAGATTCACAATTGGAGCAACACATATCAAACAGTCGTCTCTCTGTAAGGCTAGCGCTTGGATGCGTTGAATCTTGCACGGCTGCAAGTCGGGAGCTGTGCCAAGCTTAGGAAGCTTTTGGAAGACGTCTTGATCTGAACGACGAAAGCCTTGCACCAGAAAAAGAGTCATCAAAGCTTTTATCGACAATGTTCTTCCTCCACAAAACGTTGTTGATCCCCTAGATCGAGTGGGAAATATGCGTGACGTTGACCACGAGTAAATGCTTTTATTGATGCTTAATTTTGCCTGACCACGAAATCTAATTACTTTTGGCTGAACTGTTTGTAGTACTTGATGGCTCTCATTTCTCTTTAGAGAGCTGTCCGACAGGATTGAACACTCTTCAACAGTCCACCCACAATTTTCAAATATATTTGTCTTGTTAAATGGCTCGAAACGACTGAATGTCTCGACTATAAATGGCGTAAGATTATTTCCGCTTCTTTCCGCATAATGTCGTCGAAATGACTATTTTACGTAGCGGTTATGTACTCGATTATGGACAATACACTGGAAGAAAAATTAATACTACACCAACGCTCCTCAAAACGCGAACAATTTCTGGGTGCCGGTGTATGGAAGCTCCGTCGAGAATCCAAATTGAGTTCGAACCAGGGTAGAGACGAACATTTGCTCTCTTTGGGTAGACGAAATTGCGACAACATTTGACAAACCCGACGCGGTCAAACGTCCCCTCACCATCATAGTAGTCGATTATTCCATTGACGCCTATGAACGCCAAGATCGAAACACGAGGTTTTCTTTTGAAGTCTCTGCGAATAGCTACGGTCTTGCCATGAATTGAATTTCGTCGTTTCCGTAGCATACCTCTGTTATCGAACGATACCGCGTCGAATAAAATAAAAAGCTGGTGTCTCCAGTCGAACATGACTTAGTTCTTCAACAAATCGGAAGATGGCTTGTTCCTTGATGTGTAGCGCCCGACGCTCTTACACTCTCCATGTCAACCCAAAGTCATGGGTTATCTTTCACACAGAGGGAATCGAAATTGACACATGGTAAGTGCGCTGAAATGCATGCTGAGCTTCGTCAAGATAAGCACCAGGAATCTTTTGATAGTAATCAAACAACCCTTTGCGTTGAGCTTCTGTGATTTTTTTTTATCAGTGCTGGATCCAGCTCTTTGATACGTTCCGGTTGTCTCGAACACGTGGATTCAGTTTCCGATTGTTTTCACATTCGTATTGTAGACGTGTGCTAGTTGTTTTCTCGAGTAGCCAATGTTGTAGTAACCGTAAAGGCAATGGAATACGGTGTTAGCATGAGCGTGCGGTCGGGTTGCGGCCTGCTCCATAATAAACCGATCTTTGATGTTGATCCTAGCAATTTGGCACACTCCAACTCTCTAAAAGCCTCGAGATGTTCGGCTAGACAGATCACCACTAATGCGATGCAGCTCCCCCCTTCTGTGACGTCAGTTTAAATAGTGATACTGCGTTGGTCTGGTACCGTGGGTAGGCGTCACGGCGTGGAGGTTGACCTTGGATTGTGCGCGTCTGCTTGAGTGTCAAGAAATGGCTTATCGAGAAAAGATGGTGATTGGTTAAAGTGCTAAAAAAGCACAAATTTAACCAATTATTGATGACGTGTGATGTTTCGCGTGAAAAACTTCTAATATTTTTTTTTCTGATACCAGCTAAATACCCTATCTCTGATACTGGTACCGGTATCAAAATCGGCAAAACGTTAGATCCGCGTCTGTTCATGGCAATTTCTTCCGCTATGCTGGCCACAGGCTCGGCCGAGTCGGCCATGCCGTCGGCCACCTCGACATCCTTCGTGTATCTCATGTACGCCAGCGTGTACTCGTGCGGAGTTTTGTTCCTGATTCCAGCCTTCGTGGCTGGTCGTCGTTCTATCCGAACTTGGCGTCAAGACTACACGGCCGTGCGGCTCTATGGGCTGTTGGCTCTTGGGGCATCTCTACGAGCCGTAGCCTTCGTCCTCGTGGCGCTGTGGATGTTGGCTCTATTCCAGTCACACGCCAACGGATTATTGGATCGAGACGCAGCACACTTGCACTTATCATACCTGCAACTAGTATTTCTATGGCAAGTATTGGGTGCCTCCGCATCGTTGGTACTGGGCGGAGTTTTCCTTGTGGTGTTTAATACATGGGCAGCAATGGTAGACAAGGTACAAGGTACCGGTCGCAATTTTAACTTAAAGAAGCACCGAGTTGGAGATCAGGCCACGGACTCGTTACTGCAAAATCTACACACTCGAGGTGCACCAGACGTCGACGAGAGAAGAGATACTGGGGCCATTGCAACGCCTGAATCATTATTAAAACCTCCGCCACCACCGAGAATTTTGTTCATTCGACTTATGGTGGCCGTGTACTTACTACAAATGGGTATGTTTCTATTTGCGAGACAAGATCCGAGGAGTAAAATACGACGCAGTCTACTACTCGTGGCCACAGTATTGCTAATATGCTGCTGGGCCGCGTGTGTGGTTCTATTACCGGCCTATGGAGAAAGAATGTGTGTGTTGCTGGATAAAGTGGCCGAAGTTGTGACACACCGTAAGAGGAATATCCGACGTATTGCCGTCATCGCAGCGGTGTTTTGCCTCATGCACACCGCGTCGTCGATGCTTCTGGCAGCGTCGCAATGTACGCCACCGTCCGATGAATCATCCAGCTCAATCATAGGGAACTCGACACATCCGAGTGATATTCACTGGCCGCATCTCCCCCTTCATCATATCGTTCAAGCCAACCCAGCCTTCTTCTTTCCGTCGGGTACAGCAGACGATGGGGCGGCAAATTCTAATGATGGATTACTCCGTTGGCTTGTAATGATCGAAGTGCTAGAGTTCCCGATTGAATGGGCCATGCTCATGGCCTTATTGTGTGTCTTACCCACTCGCTCTTCATTGCCAGCATTCAGAGGCTATCGACCGATTCCAGAGAAAAAAAAATATCAAGCATAAAAATATATATATATAATTATATAATACATGAAAATTTATAGCAAGCGAGCTAATGCTGATCCAGTTTTTCCTTTAAAGACGACCTGATCTGTCAATGCACAGGCGTCCGTCTTCACCGTGAATGATCTTGTAGGAACGGACTGGAAGTGTTTCTTTGCAGAGCTGTATTTAAAAAACTGTGAGATCATATCGCTGCTTCCAAGTTTCAGTGGCGCTCTCGATGAATTACTTGGCAGCAACGAGAAGATTCGAGTAGCGAAGTCTCGATCCACGTGGCTTTCGTACAATGCCCGAAATTTGAGTTCTTTCGCAGATTTGAGCAGGACAATGAAGTTGTCGCAAGTTGACTCGGCTAGAGCCTGCAGAGCTAACGAGCGCTCTTTCTCCATCGAGCCTCCAGCTAGCAGTGTAAACTCCAGTGCGTTTTGTATGAGCTGTCGGTTTGACGCCTTCTTGGTATAGTTTGAGTTACTGAAAGAAAGTGGTCGTCGCTGTAGTTTTTCTTTCTGTTGTAGGGACGAGTTTCGCGTTTGTTGTAACTTTTGAAGTTTTTTCTGTCGAAGCTCTTTGAGTCTCTCTTCGCGAGACTTTGTCGATGTAGATAAAGATTTCTCTTCACCTAATGCAATGAACGTCGCGACAGGAGCTGGAGTACTCGAGACCTTATGCCTAGGTGGTCTCGAATGAGTCGATAGTTTCGTGTCACTACGGTCATGATCAGATAAAGAGCTGTGTTCAATACTACTGGAGCTTGAACGTTCATCGGTAGCAGGTATAATTCGAGTACGCATTGGCACTCGCCCACGAGCTGTAAATGGGACAGCGGCAACCTCTGAGGTCTGCTGTTCCTTGCTTGTGGGGAATATATCGATATTGCGATCTTGTTCGTAGCTAGTACGCGTGCTCCCCCACATCATTTGTGTCAAGGCGTCATCCTCATCTTCTGCTTGGTTACTAGACTTCGTGCTAGTTGGCTTGACTGTAACTCGCGCAAAAGAAGACTTCATAGATTTACAGTCCAGAGGCTTTGACAGGGATATGTCCAAGGGTTTCCTCTCTCCCTGCTGACTCGACATGCTCCGATTTGATAGCGACACGTCCGGAGAGATAGCAGGCGTTGCGGAAGCCCCGGATTCTTCCTCTTGCAAATCTGGTGCATCAGACGCTGATATCATACCGACGTTCTCGCCTTTTGAGGCCAAGAAACAACTCCCCACTCGTTCGAACCCTTTTGTGGGTTCAGAGTGTGCTAAACCGTGTTGACTCTTAGGTGAAGAGGCCAATTTACACGGCGGAACTTCGTTTACAAAGCTGCGAGGACTTTGATCGCTTCGTAAAGATTTTGCTTCAGCTTCCAGAATCTCACTTCCACTCGCAAGAACATATTCTTCATCACCGTGATCTGCCTCAGTATTGTGCTTATCCGAGTCAGAGCGGTCATGATTAATTGACGAATTTCCCTCATCTCTTGGTGTCACTAATCGGTGGTTTGTTGACAATTCTGTTGGCTCCACACGTCGCGAGTGACGACTTACTACTGGTTTACGCTGTTTAATGTCTCTTTGATGTTGATGAGCTCGTTGTTGCCGCTCCATCATCTCTTCACGTTCAAGCCTTTTCGCAGTGTACTCGAGCTCCCACCAAATCCGCGCACCCAGCTTGTTCCTGTAGTTTACTGTACGCTTTTGGTTTTGCACTGAGGACACCAATTCACATTGTTTAGGTAACTCGGAGGACATGGTCAAAACCTCTTCGTCGTGGCTATCAGGCACGCTGGGTGTACCCACTGCAATACTGCTACTGTTTTTAAAATCATCTCCATCGACATTTCCAACTTTGTCAACAGACGACACCGCCACCCTGCCCACCGATCCCGATAAACCACTTGCTCGAGGGTTATCCCCATCTTGATTAGTACTTGGTCGATTCAAAGTATCATCTTCCGTCGTAGTAACCATGATCAGTGTTTGAACCGGCGGGTTTTCATCAATATCAAGCGGTGGTGTCTGCTCTTCATGCGATCGGAGTGCCATATTAACGCTTTGCTCTACTTCGGCAATGCAATTATCATGGGCGTCATCCTGAACAGCGTCTATTTCACGCTGCTCTTCCACAGTTGCTTCTTTCTTGTCTTCACTGTCACATCTACTGGTCAAACGTTCGCTTTTCTTGGGTTCTTCACGTGTCGGCTTCCCCATGATCGTATTTCTCAACACCTTGCCATCACAGCTTTGCCACGCAAACCCGTGCTGCAAGGGGACCCCCAGACCCAACTCGAAGTCCGTCTCGGTGTCCTTTTCTTTAGATATTATCGTCAATTTCGAGAGTGACGACGATATTACACTTCGTCTAGGTCGTGAGTTCTCGCTTTCATGTAGATCCGCTTTGCCATCAGCACCTGTTGCATGTAAATCCATTTCGTCTCCCGAGCTTGTTGCTTCTTCGGCGTCAGGCTCTGAGCTGTCTGCATTACTATTGACAGCGACTTTATCTTGTGGAAATCCCTCCGTGGTATCAGAATTATCCATCACACGTTCACTTGATCTCGGTAGCAGCTCCGTACAGCTTCTATGGGACCCGTCAAAAAAAAATATTGACTTGGTCAACGATGGCTTCGTGTTCGTAATATCGCGGTAACCAGAGAGCCTAGGAGGCACACCAAGTATTATGCCTTGTTCAGGGTCATCTCGCGACTCATCTTGTGTACCAAGAACATCAGACGCCGACGGGTTACCAATCATCTCCTGGTTGTTGGAATTTCTCAATCTTGTCGATTCTGTCGATCGAGACATCGGCCGTATCTGGTTGGTATCGTTATCACTGAGGGCGATACTAGCTGTAGGGTTTAAGATGCTATCAGGCATCTCCTGGTACTTCTCACCTTGAATGATTTCTAGTTGAGTCGAAGCGCTCTCATCTTCTAGTTGGTTGTGCGATCTGGAGCCCATAACCACTGCCCAAACCTTGTAAGTCGCTTCACCCTCTCGTAATATCGGCACTTCATCGTACAGCTTCTTTATCAGATCACTGACATTCCTTACAATTTTCACGCGACCAGGACACACGTATAACAAAATCTGACGTTTTTTCCTATCATTCACGCTGTCCAGAGGAAACCAAATTACAGCGTGTCCACCTGCTGCTTGCGATGACGCGGACAACACAACACAAGTATCTTTGTCACTTAGAGCTGCCCGGTCTTCTAGCTCCTCAATCTCCATTGTCAGCGTATCCACCACCGTCCCCTCGAAATCCCACGTCAAGTCAGCGACTTCAAGCTCTGCTATTGGAGACTGGCGACACAGCTTATTGTTCTCCTCGCACTGCAGAGTATTCAATAGTTTTCGAACGTCAACACAAGCACCAAGCTTTAAACTCTTCCCTACTTGCTGCCCACATCGATGTGCCTCTACTACCATCGGCGCTAACGCAGACTTCGTACAAATATCTCGTACAGACGCCGTCGAGGAGAGGATTCGAGCAGCAAAATCCAAACATGATGCGAGCGACGCGGTCGGCGACAAAGTCTTCTTCCTGCTCATAGTCACGTGTCGAGTATACAACGAAACCAATTTGGGTTGATATTTTTACGCACCTTGACACAGTTACATGACCTTCATTCGGCAAAAGAATGAAGGTCATGTTCAAACCCTACTGCTGCGTCAACTGAGCTACCAGTTTTTCATTCTTCTCGCATTCTTTCTGGAACTCTCGAATGGCATTCACGTACATGCGTTCCTGTTCAAGCAGCAGCTGATATTTACTATCCAGCGTCTCCACGCTCCCTTGGTGATCGTCTCGCGCATTCTGCTGCTTGGTGACAGTGCCTTGTACATTCTGAATAATGTTGTCGATTTGCATGAAGAAAGCTTGTGTAGCTGTCTTGGAGCCCATCGCAACGCCAAAGTTATCGTTGATGCTGTTGATGAGCGAGATCTCCTTCTCTAGAAAGTCATGTGTGGTCTTGAGAGTATTGTAGACGCAGTAATACTTGCGAGTTTCATCGAGTGTCAACGCTACCTCGTCATAAAGCTCGAGGAAGCGCTTCTCATATTGCACCAGCTCAATCCGCGTCGGGATCTCGTCGATCTGCTTCATTGTAAGATGCAGCGCTCGTGTCTGTTTTGCCGCTACGACCATCATATCCCTGTGTTTCTGAGCCATCTGAGCGTGCATCTGCTCAATTTCATTAAGACGCTGAGCTTCTTCGTCCTGGTTACTAGCGTCTTCTGCTACTTGCAGTTTTAACTTTTCAACGCGTTCTTTTAGTGCTTCCAGTTCAAGACGACACTTGGTTTGGAACTCGTTCTTCTCACGTTTAAGAGTCTCGTTTTTCATAACTAGTTGGCGTAGTTTAATCAGATGTGCTTGTGCATCCTCGTCCTTTGGTGTCTGCGCTTCCACTTCCGTCAACTGTTGCTTACAAGCAGAGAGTGCCTCGTCCAAAGCTGCAGCTCGTACTGTACTCTCTTTCGTCTGATCGTCCAAAGTTTTCTTCTCTTCGATCAGTTGTTGCACTTGCAGCTCGTGCTCCTTCAATTGAGCTCGCAGTAAGTGCAATCGAGACTGTGCGTTAGTTCCCACACGTCCTTCGATAATCTCCTGCTTTGACACTACGTTTTGCAGCAACATTGCCTCGCGTTCACGACGTTGATTTAGCAATGTCTGTTGTTCCTCTTTTGCTTGTTTCATTGCTTTTTGGTACTGTCGGTCAAAATGTGGATCGCTTTTCTTTGTCCTTCTCAAGCCTCGCATACTCCCTCCTTTTGGCTTGGCGCCACTTACAGCGACTGCAGCAGCTTGACTCGCTATTTGAGCCAAAAAGGCAACTTGGTATTTTCCTTCTGGCTTTGTCTCTATCATCGGTTCTTCGTCGGTAGCGACGGTAACTCTCTCGCCGTACTCTAACAAACATCTTTGGATCAACGCATCCTCATTCTCCTCAATTTCCCCTTCAGCTGCGACATATTGCCAGCGCCGTTTAGGTGCATATGCATCCATTAGAAACTGGACCTCTTTCTTGAGCGGTGTGACAAGTTTCCTTTCTTGTTGTGGGCTCATAGCTTGCAGATACGCTCTCTCCCGACGGATTTTGTGCAAATGTTGAGTTTCATTCTCCTCTTCGATTAGCCACAGTACGAGTTTCTGTACTGTTTCAATGTCTCCGAAGTCTTGAAGCAGCAACTGATGCGGCTGGATACACACGGGGCAGGTGTAGCTAAGAGCCTCGATGCAACGTACTGCCTCCTGTGCAAGCCCCAATCGAGGCTTCATCTTGTCGTGGGATTGAAATAGTACGTCCCATTGCACTCTGCCCTTCTCAGCGTCTTCTCTCTTGACAATTCGCTGTAATAGCCACGTAATGCCGCTGAGAACGCGGTCAAACGCGCTGTACGAGTTCACGTGCGCCTTGGGGAACCCTGCGGTCTCCAGACATTGTAAGCTACGCGACAACTTAGCAGCAGCCTCTGCACCGTACTCTTCTGCAAGATCATAAGGGTCTAGAAGCGCTTGTGGGGCTGTCGGGGCGCTGGGTGCGGAGGAAGCCCACGTCGAGCTGAACATGATGCGGATCCAAGAGTGATGATCAAATTGAAGATTTTTAATGATTCATTTAAGTACGACTGACAAGCTCGAGCTTAGGTTGCAGCATCAGTTTTGCGGAGTGATTGTCTCTGAGTCCGTCGACGAACACATACCTGGTAGTCAGTTCAAGCGACGTCACTTCGCAACATATCGACATGTCGGACGCGACGCCTTCCGTGGCTCGCATGCGCGCCATCCTGAGCCAGATCTCGGCCGGTGGGAAGCATGGATCCGTCTCCCCTCCTTCTTCCTCTTCTCCTTCATTGGCATTGAGCCCTGCAACGCGATGGAACGGCTGGGGCTTCCAAGACACGAAGCTGTTCGTCAACTCGAACAAAGTGATCGAAATCTCCGGTGCTCGTTACGCTGAAGTGTTCGCGAGTGCACCAGACCGTACACTGCCATCACTGCTGCCATGGGCCGAGAAACGGCTTGGACTGGACGCTGATCGCCGCAGCGCGCCTAGTGTCACGTGTGCTGATGAATTGCGCGTAATGAACCAGTTAGACGAAGACGGAGAGGCACACAGAGCTCTTATGCAGTTTCTACACTTGGCGAGCGAAGAGCTCGGTATAAAGACTAGCATGACAGTTGAAGAGCGCGTACGTCACGGCCACGGACAGACCTGTGAAGACGTGTTCCGACTTCGCCACGTACGGGACGTCGAGAGAGTTCCAGACGCTGTGGTGTGGCCCACAAGTCATGAACAAGTGGAGGTTTTAGTGAAGGAAGTGACGCATAGATTTGCAGATCACGTATGTACTATTCCATTCGGAGGAGGAACCAACGTCACCAACGCGCTGGAGTGTAACCCCAAGGAGCGACGTGCCATTGTGTCGCTGGATCTAGGCGAGATGCGACGTATTGTGAGTGTAGACAGAGAGAACATGACTGCAGTAGTGGAAACAGGTATCACTGGACTGGATCTTCACGAACGTCTACGTCATCGTGGCCTTACACTTGGTCATGAGCCTGACTCGTGGGAGTTCTCGACACTTGGCGGATGGATTGCAACTCGTGCATCGGGCATGAAGAAGAACACGTACGGGAACATTGAAGACCTGGTCGTTAACATCACAACTGTGACGCCTCAAGGGACGATGCAACGTGCTGCTAATGTGCCTCGTGTTGCCATGGGGCCCGACATGAACAACGCTATGATGGGCTCCGAAGGGATCTTCGGAGTGCACACGATGGTGACGCTACGTCTTCGTGAGTACCCTACAGTGCAAGTGTACGACTCGCTCATCTTCCCTAGTCTGGAGCACGGCCTTGCAGCTTTAAAGGAGATCAAACGTGCTGGGTGTGAGCCAGCGTCACTCCGTCTACTGGACAATACACAGTTCCAGTTGGGGCAGGCACTCAAAACGTCGTCTTCGACAAATAAATTCACTGCTGGAGTCATCGACTTTGCCAAAAAGACGTACGTGACCAAGATCCGTGGCTTTGATGTGGACGAAATGTGTGCAGCTACTATTTTGCTTGAAGGAACGAGTCCACAGAAGGTGGCAGAGCAACAGAAATGTATCCAAAGTATTGCCAAACGCCATGAAGGAATGGTGGGGGGCGAAGAGAACGGCAAACGGGGCTACTTCTTCACGTACATCATCGCGTATCTACGCGACTTCGCTCTAGACTACTACTTTATGAGCGAATCCTTCGAGACCTCTGTTCCTTGGACGAATGCACGTCAACTTATCACCGACATCAAGTTGGCTATCAACTCTGTAGCCGCCAAGCGCGACGTCAAGATCCCACCGCTTATTGCGTGTCGTGTCTCTCAAGTGTACGACACAGGCGTCTGTGTGTACGTGTACTACGGTATTAACTATTTTGGCGTCAACGAACCCATGACACTCTTCCGTGAAACGGAACTTGCTGCTGTGGACGCCATCGTGCGTAATGGTGGCGCTCTGTCGCACCACCACGGAGTCGGCAAGCATCGTCTTGCCTGGCTGCCGGCAGCCATCTCACCTCCAGCCATCGCAGCTATACAAGGAATTAAGACGGCGCTCGACCCGAAAAACGTGTTTGCTGTGACCAATTTGCAACCTTTCAAGAACCAAGAAGGGGCTTAGATTGCCTCTGTTTTTTCATATGTCGATATAAAAAAATGCTAGAGAAACAATGTTTTAAACAATGTCATCGCCGACGTGTATACCGTTACCGGTAGTCCCAAGTGTGGATCTGCAGCGCTTAAAAACGGATTTTGCAATTGAATTTTGGAGTAAGTACGGTTCATTATCTCTACTGAATGTACAACATGGATGAAACGGCCATCCAGTTCGACATGCCGCCTGGGCAATTAAAGGGCGAAAAAGATCAGCTAAAGTCCAAAATCCGACAAAACACTGCGGACACATGACGGCTGTTTTGACAGTTCGCGCTGATGGTAAGCTGTTATGTTTTTTTTTCCTTGAGCTTATTTTAAGTTTTATATACACATATATTTTACTAAAAATGTTTGTTTTTATTAAAAAAAAAATTCCGAGTGGACTTATTGATTTCAACAAGTTAAGCACGACACCGTCGGAGTTTCTGGGAGTTTTATGTAGAAAATATTTTTAGATTATGAAATTGACTCCCCTGCCCTCCTCTTAGCGGACAATTTTTACTGTCACGTTTCAGAGGAGGGTATGCGTGTGGTAGCCGAACAGGCATGCGCTACAGTGGTCCCATTACCCGCTAAAGCTACATCGGTTTGTCAACCGAGGTAAATTACTACCCCAAAAAGGCCTTACGGCTGCTGAAAAACGTCTTCGAGCCATAAAAGCTACAATTGCAGCTTGGGAAAGTTTTCCCAACGAGCACGTAATTCGTAGCTTTAAATCAGCAATTCCGTGCTATGAGTCGACAACGGTATAATAAACAAGCGTGGCTGAACTTTTATTCCATACTATCAGTTTCATTCACCCAATCAAAATATGTTTTGCTAGTCGTCCGAGTTTTTGTGTCGCAAATTTTACTATCGGAATTGTGTTTATCAACTCCGGCCTTTTGTGTCGTTGTCTGTAGTCATCTGTCATGGAGGAAAGCTAACACTGTACACTATTTCCGTTCTCATAATGCTCGTGAGGATGGGTGATATCGGGGGGAGTCGAAAATTGCAAAAAAAATAACGTGCTCAAAATTTAGCGCCGATCGAACTACCGACAAGCTCAAAGACGAGAAGAATACGCTAGAACGGGGCTGTCGAGTAAGTTAAACAAGCTAAAACGAGCCCACGAGGCAGAGAAGATGAGGTATGTGGACAGCATCTCTCCTGGTGAGTTTTCAACGACAAATAACCCGTGTGAGGTCTTTAACGCCAGTATTAAACGCTACACGCAACGGAGCTCGGTGGATACTAGACGCTTAATAATAAATCTGCTCACGATTGCTCTATCTTGCGCGCATGTCATACGTGGACGCATGGCCATCGGGCTTAGTGAACTTGGCGTTGAAGGGCTACATGTGAAAATTAAGGATCGCATAATTAGCCGTACCCGCGATGCTAAACCAAAGCATAAAGCTCGCTCGTTATTACAAAGCAGTGATCACGCTATAGAGACGTTGCTTAGCTGCCCCGTTTCGGATGTCAGCAGTGACTCCTCGGTGAGTTTCGATCTTCTGAGTGCATCGATTCAGACGTTTCTTCGTGATTTCACGGATGACAGCGTCAATTTGGATGGGCCAGTTGCTGCAAACACGTATGGTAGATAAAAAATCGGATGAATGTACACACAGAGACTAGTGCGGGTAATAATTCTGATAAGTCTGATATTCACTGTGACTGGTTATGAGATAGCCCCATTTTAGGTTTGGCGCAAGGGGATTTAAAACATGAGGAAACGGGTGAATGTGCAGAGGACGGAAAAGGAGCGAATCGCGCTCCTGAAGCAGTGGAAGTAACATATTAAGTGGAGCCTCAAAAAAGAAGCTGCAGCTACGAGCTTCACCCCAGACGCTGCGTGACTAGAAGAAGCGATACTGAGAAATTTGGATTCTATTACAGGATCAGATCGCACCGGACGCAAGGGGACCGGGTCAGCAAGGGAGCTGAGATCGTACGAAGGTATAGTACTGAGGTACTTTCACGTTTGCCTTCGAAGAAAAGGTGTGTGCAAATTTTCAGAGTTGTTGGTCTTTGCCGGGAGCTGGAAGAATTCCAGTAAGGTATCTCCAACCGCCATTTTTATAAAACTTGGGTGGAAAGATTAATAAACTACTACTCTAATTGTGTCCGTGGCAGCGGAGATAGCGTAGAGATTCAAGGTGGAGACGGCAATTGTTTGGCTGCTGGTACTGATGTCTTGGATGGAGGGGGTACAAGCTCAAGTGGCGGCGACAGCATTTCGGGTGGCAATGGAAATATTGGCGGAAACAATGTTGCGGTTGATGATGTAGTTATTGGCGAGGACAATCCTATGAGTGATGGTGTAATTATTTGCGAGGACAGTAATTTGTGTGGTGGAGTAAATTTTGGCGGGGGCAGTATGTCGGGTGGTAATGTCGCAATTGCCGGCGATACTGCAGCTCCTGATGGCGGTACAAATTCCACTGCTAGTGGTACAATATCCAATGTTGGTGGTGCAAGTTGGATTGTTGCTGGTACAACGCAACAAGCAGCCTCCGATGTAGGCGGAATAAGCCCCAGAATTAGCAATGCAAGCGCCGGTGAACATTGTGTGAATGGCGCTGTTTATAGAAATATTTCGGGTAGGGACGGCAATAATTCCGGAGGCAAAATAATTCCGGAGGCAAAATAATTCCTAACACTGTATGTAAAGCTTAGATAGTAATGGTGTTATTGCCAGTGACGATGGCAGTATTTTCGACAGCCCTGATGCATTTCAGTCTCTAGTAGTGATCCTGATGACTCAGAAGAAAGCCTATTTCATGCTGATTTGCCTATCACAAAGGCAGATGAAAATGTCCACCAGGCCGCGGGACAACGCTTATTTCGAAAGCGATATTCGAAGATTGCAACAGTGCTTGACTGGAGATACGATAATACGTATATTTGTATTTTTCCTGACAACACGACCTCAAAAGTATTTTGCCCGGTGGATGGCTAACCGAGACTGTGGCTGACTACTTCATTCATCGCTACATCAAGTTTGTACCTAGTTCTGTATTTGTATGTGGAAGTTCAACGTACAAGACAATTGACCTTGTCCGAGCATCGACCGTTGCAGTCAAAAGAGCTGCTCGCATGGAGCAACTGACCGGTCTGGTAGAATGGGCTAATTACCAATTTGTACTAGTTTCTATTACCGGAAATGGCCACTGGGGATTTGTCGCTGCGACTGATGCATTGCGAAATGGCACGGCGGGTTTGTTTCATGTCAATTCTATGAAAGATTACCACGACACGGCCTACGCATTTGAAGCCCTGAAATTGGTAATAGCTAAAGAGCGCTTTAAACGAGACGACTATCTTCGAAGATGCGACTGGAGCCACGGTGTTTTTAACACAACGTCTCAGCAGAGGAATACGGTTGACTGTGGCATCTCCATGCTTTATTACATGGAGGAAGTTGCAAAATGCATTGCGAAGGAGAAAGACAAGTTTTCGTCGAGGCCCGTCTTAATTAAGTCGAAGCTAGAGGCGTGGACAGCTTGTGGCTTCAATGCAAATAGGCGAGAAATTTTCGACAAGAGTACTATCGCAGAATTGAAGAAGCAGCTGAAGCGTCCTACAAACTCTACAAGTCGTCATGATGAGGCAATGTTAGCATTTTCATGGTTGTCAATAAAGCTTCTGTCTTTTTAAAGATATTTCTTCTTCTTCGAAGTATTATATTACATTGTAGCTTAATGCACTCTCAATGATGGCTGAACACATTGTAGGAGCGTTTAATCTGCCCTTTCGGGTTTATATGCAGCAATTATTACGTCCTGGAGCTTCATAAACCACGTGGGCAGTGTCAACACCCGTCTTGTGTAGTCTGCCGGTCTGGCAGCTCCAGAATTCCCCGCACTCTTAGCAAGCAGCCTGCAGTGCTCACACAGCCGCTTGAAACGCTCCTGCAGAACAAAACGATGGTGTGTGTGGTCCACACATAAAACTTTAAGTGAGCCATGGCCATCGTGTGCTGTCGGCAGTTCCGACACGTCGCACGTAACGTTCGTTTGCAGCGCTCACGCAGATGCTTGCTACAGCAGAGAAAGAGGGTGGTGTGTGGTCCACACACAGGTACATAAAGCGGGACACACTAAATGTCGATGTTACGTGTGCACAGACTATGCGTGTAAACTGGTGCCCAGTACCTGTGTCATTGATGGTCACATAGCTGTCTATTAGGGTCCTTTACTCGACTCTGACAGGGGTCTGACCCAGACGTAATTTTCCTAAAATAAATATCATAGTTTTCGCACACAGCTCACCAGTAGTGCCCCCCCCCTTGCAATGCAAGCGGGGTTGTCAACGGCGGGTTTTTGAATTTGGCCCCAGTCGCCATGTGGCAAATCCCTCGATCTGGTCCGATGCTAAAACAACAATCAGCAATTTGTCCATCCGGTGATTTTTTTTAAATTAGACATGTTTACTCTATGGGAGTGGCAACAAACCTTTTCACGATATATTATATTGTGGGAAAGTTTAATATACGCCTCTAGGTCCGACAAACACGAAAATACCATAATAACATATTATGGTATTATCGTGGCACACAAGTTATCCTACAGCCTGCAATTACTTTTGAGTTGCAGAGTATGCTTTAAAGATACGATAGACAGCCGCACTTTTGTCATATTTGCTGCGTAAAGCTGCCTTTCTCCACAAGACAAAGTACATGCCTATTTTAAGTAAGTATAGCTTCAAGATGGTCTTTCTGAGGTGTCTCGGTTTTATACCGTTTTGGCAATCATTGTAGTCTTTCCGTGTAAAACTACGTTCGTATTTTTAAATTTGCAGATCTCTCGTGGTCGTTATATCTAATCAAAACTATGGCATATTTGCTTGTAGCATCTGTGCACTATGGAGGATAATGGTCGGCGCTGGCGTGGTCGTCTGTACTGGGCAAACTGGGCCGTGGTGGGCTTTCACACATTAAATCGGTGCTCACTGATTCGGTACCGAAAGCCAGCTTACATC